ATCCTATTCTCCTTAGGGTCCCTACTGTAGCTCTATATATACAGCGTTAGGCTCATGAAAGAAGAGAACAATCCCACAACCTTGGAATTGCGTCCGCCCCTCTCTCTCTCTCTTCCAAGGAGTAGTTTTATTTCTTGTGCTCCACTGATACAAGATCTATATAGTTGTTTGAGAATACAGTAGAAGATCTTAAGGTATATACGGGAATCCAATCAGATCTATCATACATACAAACTGGAGACCAAAACCAGCAAGTGACCATACCACGACGACCAGGACGACGAGACGAAGAGATCGCCGCCAGCCGCCGCCGCACACGCCGCCACGCGCCGTCGGAAGGGAGCAGTTGCCGGAGCTTACTCGCGCACGTGAGAGCGCATGGATCGTCCGATTTCCAATCGGTCAACGCCGTTGACTTCGCCGTGACGTCAGCTTTCTGGATTGGTCAAGTTTGTTCGATTCCGAGAAGATTTGATTTGCGGTCAACTGTTCGGGCCAGCCAGATCTACATAAATTTTAAGCAGTAAGTTTTCTTCATCAAACCTTTAGATCCACTGCGCATAGGTTTATGTTGAATGTTTGTCCGTGATTTGTGCATATCGAGATCCTCATATGTCCCAACATTTATGCGGTATGATCAATGTATATATGTGAACCTGGTAGCCTATCGATGTGAGCTAATATGGCCGTCGGTACGGTAGTCCCCATCGATGTGAGCTTTATGCCCTTCGACGGTGCCTAATGATAGGCAGCCTCCTTAAGTCTTATACGGAGGCCAATCGTATGTAAGACCTGTACGGAGGCTTTCGATATGTATGTCGTTGTAAGACCTGTACGGAGGCGATCGACAGATACTCCTACTGAGTAGGCACCGATGTAAGGCCTGTACGGAGGCGATCGATACGAAGACACTCAGTAGCTTTATAGAGATGTACACATGAGTAGATATTATTGATAGCAGATGGATAGAATAATGATTCGTATACATGCTGAGACCATACCTTTCGATTACTGATTACTATTTATTATTGAGGCTAACATTTACTGCATAGTGGTGAGCACTACTGTTTCCTCTTGTGCTCATACCCACCTGCTCTTCATGGATGCAGGTTAGTATGGCGAGCACAGTGGAGGGAAGCGAGTGGTGGTCACAAAAATTGTTATTGTTTCCGCTTGAAATTGAATTATTGTTATTATTGTCTTATTGATTACTGGATTATTGATAGGGAATGTATTCCCTAGGATTGTATGAGTATTGGATAATTGGGTTGGTTATTTATTATTGAACTGAACTAGTGTTCGATTATTGATTATTGATGAATGAGTACTGAGGATTGAGTATGATGATTGATAAGTATTGATTATTGATTTGGAAAATAAGTAGCGCCTCAAGTGTTTTGAAATAAATTTCGAAAAATTTATTCTGATTTTTGGTAAATAAAAGTGGGGCGTTACAATTTGGTATCAGAGCCAGTCTGCGTTTCTTTAGACTGGTTAATGTGAACTAATTGATTATGTGATTTGACCATAAGTTATGACCTCTCGTCGTGCCGCGCCAGCTCAGGTATGCGTACCTAATTGATTTATAGATGGTTGTGCAATAATTGATTATTGACATGAAATCGGGGCTTAGGAATTTATCCTCCTGCTTTTAAGTATTCTTGAACTCTAGCGGTATAGAGTTAAGTTCCGACTTGAGAAATAGTTTGTTTGGAAATTCGATATAATGTTATCGAGTTAAATTTTGTTTATAGCAGTGCTTTTGCTATAAGACTTGTTGTCCTAAAGAGAGGACCTTTCGCAATGTCATCTCGAAAGGAGAAGGCTTAAATGAAGGGAGCAGACGACCGAAGGAGTCCAAGTTATTTGGGTATTCGAGAGTCTATAACCGTTGTCGATAGGACCATTAGATGCGTGATTAGAATCCAGTCAAAGGCGACGATGACCCATTCTTTTGCGAAAATTCTCTTCAGTATATTAAGCCGCGAGCGATTTCCTAGCAGTAGTAGGACTTACCGAGAACAACTTGAATCGATGAAGGAGGCGGTAAATCGTGGACTCGTGGATGCGAGGCAACTTTGTTCCCTTATCGAATTATTGTCTTCTTATAGACTTGCTGTTTTGTATGATAAAAAAATCCTTGTTCTTTTGTATGATAAAAAAAAAATTGAATTGTGCTTTAAGCTTCTTTTGTTAGCCAATTTTCGTGTTTTAATAATTTCGCGTGATCTTTCCTTTCCTGGCGTAGAACTTCAGATGGAGTGATTTGACTCATATCAAGGAGAGTTTCTTTCCACCTTAAAAGATCAGGCATAAATCTTTTAAGGAGGATAGATGAGTCCAAAGCAAGCACATCGTGAGTGCAGAACCTTCTTAGTTTTGAATTCTGTTCATTGCAGTCTTTAGGAAATCTCGTTCTTTCACTTCTTTTAGAGTTTTGGGGGAGTTGACGTAACGGCCGAAGCTAGTAGTCAGAAAAATCGAGGCGAGCTAGTTATCGTATTTCTTAACAGGAGCTGCTGATTTAGGATTATTCCCGACTGAATAACCGTATTAGAATCTCTTTGGAATTCTCGTTGACCTCTTCGCGTATCAGAGTGTGTAGTTTCAAGGAGCCGATGGACGTGGAGCTCGAACATGCCCTTGCTATCTTTGAGACTTTTGAAACCTTTGAAATTGTGAGACGACTGAAAATATATATATTGGACCCAAAATTCTCGTTAATTGGTAAAACCATTACTCTTTGGTGATCTGAGATTGAAACCTTATTGTGAAACCTTGAACCGAACGCCTGCTCTGGCTGGATGTAGCCACGTGAAGTGGTGGCCGAGCACGCACGACCGTGCTGAGAGACGTGAGGCTTGCGCGGGGCCGACTGTTGACTCGCATGCGAACTGCAGCCGCCTTCACCGTACGCACGAACTCCCCTGGCCAGTGTATACGGCCAACTATCAATGTTTTTCCAAAACCGTCGAAACCATTTCATGCTGGAATACTTGGTTATTCTATTGAACCCTTTAAACCAAACCTTAAACCGAGAGCTCCATGTCCCACTAAATGTGTGTAAATCCTTAATCGATGATTTTGGGTTGAGGAGTGTAGTCAATGAGTCCCTATGCCTTATTTTGAGAGTTTCTCGAGTGGGCAAATTGGGAATGCCCTAATGCTATTGGTCAATCCTTATGTTTGCACATAAGGGTTGCGTTCAACTCATGGAGTCAATATCGTATGGGTATGAGCATCTGGTGTGTGCTACCGTGTCATAGTCTTCGATGGAGACACTCGTTCCTTGATAAAATCATGAGCAAGTTATCAGTATGACTCGGATACGAGACTGAAACTTTGCGTCACGTATCCACCTTGTTGGTGAGATAGTTGGAGTACGCTGGCAATACACTGAACGACCTGTTGAGGTCTTGCGTGTTGTTAGGTACGAAGTTAATTGTCGATACTCATGGGTATAGGCCAAGCCGGACGGAGTCTCTTGCAAGAGGATGTGCGCCTGAGCTCGGGCAGGATTGACCACCCTCCCATGCAATAAGGCAAACATATGATCATAGGGCGAGTCAGATTGAGTCCTGTACTGGAGTGTATGCTTTTCGAGTATGTCGTTTTCCTTTAAATGCGTGTTCTTTCGTATTTCCGAAGACGGAATTATTTTAAGGAGGATAGATTGTAATGCCCCGTTCGATTTATAGAACTTCTCGAAATATTCTATTTATCGTATATTATTTATGAGATTATAATTATTTTGCTAGTCGCGATGTCGGCTTAAATAAAAGGTTGGAGTACCCGATCATTTTATTTAAAAACATTTGACATGAGTCGATTTCGGTTTAATTGCATGAACTGAATATAATCCGTTTGAATAATGGATTTTTTTCGGATATTTCAGCATTATTAATATTGTTATTTTATTTTATTAAATGAATGTCTAAATATCATTATTCGTCTAATTGCATAAATAATGTGTGTATTATTAATAAATATTATTATGTATAGTATAAATATAATTATTCATTTTAATTATCGTGCGATTATCCGAACCCACGACCCGCGATCCATTTTCCTCTTTAGCTTGGAGGTTTAATTTTCGGATCCTTGAGCTACTTAATTCGGCCCCGAAGTGATTTATTTTTCAAGCCCTTTTAGTTATTAATTTCAAGCTCAATTGAGTTACATTATATTGGCCCAATTAGGAGGTATATTTTGGCATTTTTTTATGACTTAAAGCTTGACCCAAGAAGAGTTCCTAAGTTCTCGGCCCAACTAATAATAAACAGCCTATTTTTTGGCCTCATTTTTGTTAGCTGTGACCAAACCCATTTCTCGTCTCTCTTTCTCTCTCTCTCTCTCTCTCTCTCTCTCTCTCTCGTTTTGATCAGGAAAGAGCAAGTCGCAGCCGAACTTTCCTCTTTTCTCGGCCATCAATCTGCCACCAGCAGCGACCAAGACGCCCGAACTCCTTAAAATCAGGTTCTCCTATACCCTAATTCTCTCAGTATTTAAGACCTCAAGAGATTATCAGTTGCATCCTAATTTCTTCCCAATTTCATAAATCGTGCAACATATTATGAGAAGCCAGCGCACGACCGGCAATCGTGAACCATCAATTTCATGGAAACCTTTACCCCTTCCTATCGCCGTGACTATCGCCGCGACCAGAACTCATCGGTGTTTACATCTCCACGACTTCG